TAATTTTCTGAGGTCCTCCAAGCTTTTTCTCGTGTTTGTATCAGACCATGTAAATATGCCTGCCATATTCTTCTTTCCTACTGCAAAGGCTTTCGCTAGTTAATCTTGGATTAACAAGAACTTTCACCCTTAGCAGACTCGGTGGCCCATTTGTTAGACGATGAATTCCATATCAAGAGGTCTGAGACATTCGTGTCCTGTCCGAGGTCGTTGTGTTTTGTTCTTTGACAAAAACCCGTTCCCTTCAGAGTACGGTCGAATTGCTTGGAAGACCTGGCAAACTCAATGCTTTGAACTGAATCATCTTGCGATGAACTGGTTGGAGGGCTTAAGGTGGGGGGAGGGGGAATACTCCCAGTTAATTACCATCGAAAGAAACTGAACTGGAGACACCGTTTGCGGGATTCAATGTGACTCAAACACTGACCTCACGCCATTATATTTTATATTTCAGGAGATACAGTTACCTATTCTCTATCCGGCGCCAAAAGTTCCGACTTCACCATTCACGCGTCTAGCGGCGTGGTCACCCTTAAAAACGCGCTCAACTACGAGTCACGCTCTTCCTACTCGCTTACTGTCACGGCATCCGATGGTAACGGTCACGGTAACGGCAGCGTGGCGTCAACATCATTGACAGTTACGGTGACCAATCAGAATGACGCGCCAGTCTCCCTTAGTAGCTCGTACTCGGCTACTATCGCAGAGAACGAACCCAGCGGGACAAATGTGTTGAAAACCGGAGCCTCCGATGAAGATGGACATGGTATCTTGTTCTCCTTGTCGGGCAGCTCCGATTTCACAATTCTTAACTCGGGTGTGATTCGGATCAAGTCAGGAGTTACTCTCGATTTCGAAACACAAGACAGTTACAATTTAACGGTGACTTTCTCCGATGGTGCAGCGAGCGACTCGAAGTTCGTCTCCATTAGTGTTCTGGATGAAAACGACGCGCCAACGCTGCCGAGCTCTCCCTACTCGACGAGCGTCTCCGAAAATGTATCGGTTGGCACGAGTGTTTACGATGTGGACGCGAGTGATCAGGACGGCGATTCGCTGACGTATTCGTTGTCGGGATCGGGTGTGACGCATTTCACGATAGACTCTGGTACAGGAATTGTGACAACCACTCAGAAATTGAACTATGAAGATACGACTTCATACTCCTTGACTGGTGAGCTGATCATCACTAAGGCAAATTAGAAGTTATGCAATAAAGAATTGTCGGAACAAAGAAAGCTATCTCTATATAAAACTACTTAGCCCCGGTATCAGTTTACTTATTTGTCGTGCCTAACTTATCTTAATACTCGCTCGCTCGACTCCTAAGAATTCAGTTTACTTCATAACCACTGAAATGTGTTCAAACTAGCCAATAAAAAGGACGGCGTTTTGTATCCGTATTAACCAAATGCAGTCTGTGAACTTGCAGACGTTTTTTAAAGTGTATATCGTGTTACAATATTATTATTGAC